CATAGCCTTTTTGGGTTTCCTTTTGCAACCTGGTCTCAGGGTTGTCGGGTTCAGGGCTTGTAGGCTATAGGGTTGGAGCTTAGGGTTCAGGGTTCAGGGTTCAGGGTTGAAGGCTCATTCCCCGAACCGCGTTGTTTAGGAAATCTTCACGAAGTTACATTAGCAAGGACCAGAGTAGGCCCTCTTCTTTTTTTGGGGCCTTAGGCCCCCTTGTAGGCCCCTTTAACTCGGATGCCCAGTAGTACCCTTATTCCCTTTGTGGGGGGGGTTTGGGTTCCCTTATAAACCCCTTCAAGCAAGAAAGGGCACCCTTTTTAAGCCTTGGTTACTGGGCAGCCTAGTTAAACCCAAAAGGGAGAAGCTCTACGGCCCAAGAATATACTACAGAGGTATTATGGACCCTTGCGCTCTTGATCGCTAATTCCTTCAAACTCAAGCCCCTGATCCTAAACCCACATTTTGGGTGCGCACCACCCCAAACCCTAAGAGGGTTTTAGGGTTTTAGGGAAAACCTGAAAACCGAAGCCCTAAACCCAAATCCTCTGAGATTCTTGCTTTGCAAGGTGCTCACAGCGCTTCAGCCACTGGACCACGAGCTCATATGGCCGTGCCTTTGGGCTGCGGGTTGATGTTACAGGTCAAGGGATTCAGACTCGTAACCTTAAGGTTGTACCCCTAAAGGTTCCCCCTAATATAGTCCTTATATGGCCCTCATATTCCCTTAAGGATCCTGAAAAAGGGGCCCCAAAACCCAAGGGTACAACCTTAAGGGTCCAAGGTAGAACCCCTAGAACAGGGGCTTACAGGGCTCAAGGGTAATTGGGCTTTTCGCGTTTAGGGTTTAAGGTTAAGCAGGGTGTAAGGCATCGAGAGGGAGGGAGGGGAGGGGGCTCAGATTCAACGCGTATGACCAATAGAGCGCATTCCTGATCGATTGCATCAGGAAGCCGAATTGGGGGCGTTTAACAGTAGGGAAGCAAAGGTAGCAGATGTTCATGGGGCCTCGGCCGGGGTCCAAGGGTAGCGGGGTTGCGATGCTGAAGGAGGCAGATCAGATTGTTTGAGGGTGCCGAGTGTCAGGATATGATGTCTTGGGCTCCTGGTATTGGGTAGTTTATGGGCAGGCTGTGATGGTATCATCTGGGATGTTGGAAATATAGGGAGTTCGACAAGGCTCTGGATCTATCGTTCTTGTGTTAGAAGCAAGAAAGTGTGCGACTTGACGTCTGCATGCCCGCAACCGGCTGGGAGGGCCTAAACCCTAAACCCTAAACCCTAAACCCTAAACCCTAAACCCTAAACTGCCAACATCTGAACCGATTATGTGGTCGGTCGAAACCATACATCAAAGAGACCCTAGGGCCGACGTGCAAGTGTGCGCCCCTTTGAAAGCAGTGACAGGGTTTAGGGTTTAGGGTTTAGGGTTTAGGGTTTAGGGTTTAGGGTTTAGGGTTTAGGGTTTAGGGAAGCAACCTACACTTATGCGTCACTAGTTTGGTCGCTGGGGCGGTTCTGAAACCCACAAGCATATGGACCGGCCTTGTCGCTGTCCTCCAGCATAGCCACACACTTAAGCGTCACTACTGCTACGTGCATGCAAGCGTCCCTCCCCGAGTTTTGAAAAAGCCTTCCGTTGAGGCGCCCCTACTTTTTGGGCTTCAACACAGTCCACTTTTGGACCCAAAATGGACCCCAACATGGAACCGGGAAGACTCCTTCGTCGAGTTTGTCTTGGGGTCAGCCGTACCTTGGGTGTCTTCTTCTCTGTGGCTCTTTACTGCAACCTGAGATCCATACCCTTTCGCAACCTGAGGAGCTCAGAAACCCTAAACCTTAACCTCTATAGCCAAGCCATAACCCTAAACCCTAACCCTAAACCCTAAACCAGAGCGCCAGGTACGTCCACGCGGTGTCCGCGGAGTTGAATCTCGGGCTTCGCGAGCTTCGCGCATCGCTGGGCCCTGTGAGCCCGCGAGGCTTGACATGGGTATGTTCCTTCATCTACTATTTGCTTTAAGTATATATATATATATTATAATATATATATATATATTTATATTTATATTTATATATATAGACATATATATTAATATATATATATATATTTTATATATATATATTATCACATATATATATATATATATATATGAATATATGCCCCCTAAATATAGAATTATCTGTATATGGCCCGTTTACGCAAGAGCACGTTTCATGTTTGGGTGGTTCTTAAGCAAATAGTGGTCATAGAGGTACCCCTTGATAAGCCTTGGCCCTTTGAACTCGTATCTGTCGTCTGTAGGTAACCAGGGTTTAGGGTTTAGGGTTTAGGGTTTCGGGTTTAGGGTAACCCCCCAAGATAAGAAAACCGCCACAAGGCTTAGGCTTTACGGGGCAGAGCTGCGTTTAGGGGTTCGGGCTTGGGAACTTGAAGGCTCTCAGGGTGTAGGGTTTAGGGTTTAGGGTTTAGTGTCCTAAGTTTCCTAGTTCTACCTCATCTTACAAAAAGGTACTTAGATGAGTTCCTTTTTGCCGCTTTTGAGATGGGTCCGAGTTAGCCGAGTTTATGGGATGGCTAGCTGAGCTTTGCAAAACCTTAAACCCTAAACCCTCAACCCGAAACCTTAAACCCTAAACCCTAAACCCCCTGCTTTCAGAACCCTAAAAAACAGCAGGCGCCGCGCTGTTGCGAGATGCCGAGGCCGAAGTCTCCGAGCAAAGGGAGGAGACGAGGGGTCGCGTACGGATCGGAAAAGATGCGAGGGCGGGTTTAGGGTTTAGGGTTTAGGGTTTAGGGTTCAGGGTTTAGGGTTCAGGGTTTAGGGTTTAGGGTTTAGGGCTAGTTTAGGGTTTAGGGTGTAGGGCTTAGGGTGTAGGGTTTCGGGCCGTTATGGGTTCAGGGTTTTAAGCTTTTAGGGTTTACCGGGGGGGGGGGGGGGTAGGTGTCAGGGCTGCTTAGAGTTTTAGGGGTTTACCCTAAACCCAAAACCCTAAACCCTAAACCCCCTTATGGTGGTTTAGGCAGCTTCGGGCTTGGGTGTGCTTCTGGAGTTCGGGTTCTAAGTCGGTTGGTTGCATCTGAGCTGTCTAGTTGTGTGGGGTTTCGTTTGGGCGCGCAGGCCTGTTCTATATACACTCACAACATGGCTATGGTATGTACCTGCCCTCTGGCCCAAGCAAGCCCCAAGCAGCACCAGTAAAATCATGGATTGTCTTTCAGGGTTCGGGGTCCCACACCCTCAACCCTAAACGCTAACCCCCTTTCACCCTTTCACCCTAAACCCTGAACCCTGAACCCTGAACCCTGAACCCTAAACCCTAAACCCTAAACCCAAACCCTGAATCTTCCACCTTTGGCTTATGCAGGCTTCGGGCCTGAAACTTCGCCAGATCACCTCGCAATCCCAGCTGTGCCCTATAAAGCCTAGCACCCCAAGCCCTAATCCCCAAACCCCTAACCCCTAAACCCCGAAACCCTAAACCCTAAACCCCAAACCCGAGACCCTAAACCCCAAACCCTAAACCCCAACCCCCAAACCCTAAACCCTAAACCCTGCCCTGTTCTGCAGCTTGCGTTGGATCCAGCGGGGCAGAGGCCGCCCAGGATTTAGGGTTTAGGGTTTAAGGTTTAGGGTTCAGCTTTGGGCGATCTAGAAGCCTGCCTAGATCCACCCAAAGTAGCCCAATCCGTGCCCTACTCCCCCCACAAAAAATACATGAACTTCGGGATGTTCCCGCGAAAACAAACAGTCCTCAACAGGGATTATAGTACCCCCTGTTAGAATCCCTACTAAGGACTATTCGTACAAAAGGGAGCATCCCAACAGGAACTGTTTTGGGGGGCTTAGGGGTTTAGGGTTTAGGGTTTAGGGTTTTAGGGTTTAGGGTTTAGGGTTTAGGGCTTAGGGTTTAGGGCTTAGGGTTTAGGGCTTAGGGTTTTGGGGGGTGTGCTTTGTGGGTTCTGGCTGCGTGCTCTTCAGCATCACCACGCCTCGGTCGAGGGGCAGCCATGACGGGCATCTTCGGGCTGCTTGCAGGCTCCATGTCTTTGTGGTACTTTACTTTAGCTTTAGATCCTTACCGTTTTTGGGTTTATTGGGTTTTTTAGGTACTTTACTTTAACTTTAGATCCTTAGCCTTTTTTGGGGTCTTATTGGGGTTTCTTATGTCCTGGGTTTTCTAGATCAGTGTTAGGGATCCGTTTTACTTTTTGGGTGATGGGCTTTCTTATATATGAACAGAAAGGATCCTTTTTTTTCTTCCTAGGGGAACAGGGATTAAGTTTTGGAGTACTGTATTTTAATACTTGTGTTGGATTCTGGGTTCCTATGAGGGTTTAGGGTTTAGGGCTTAGGGCTTAGGGTTTAGGGTTTAGGGTTTAGGGTTTAGGGGGGTCCTGGATTTTGAGGTACTGTACCTTAATGCCTTTTTGGGTTCTGGGTTCCTTTTCTAGCTACTTCTACCGAAAAAGTATATATTTTTCTGGGTTTACTCTAGAGTAGGGTGTCTGGGTGCTGAGGGCTTAGAGGGCTTCCCACAACCCACACCCGAAGCCGCAGAGCCTGAACTGGGAGGAGGGGGGATGTTCACCCTTATACTAGCAGTCCTTCATGGAGATTATAGTACTCCCTATTACAAGGAGTGTTAGTAGAAGGGGTAACCCTAACCCTAAACCCTAAACCCTAAACCCTAAACCCCAAACCCTAAACCCTAAACCCTAAACCCTAAACCCTAAAGCAAGCTCAACACCCCTCCCCGGGGGAGTGTTAGTAAAGGGGGGTATCATCCCAAGCTAGATTTCTCGAATGTCAAGTTGTGGCTTCATTTTTGGCCAACAGCGGAGCTTAAGACCCCTCCCCGCAAGTTCCAAGCCCAGGGTCTTGCGAAATTGGGGGCCTTTCAAACCCGAAGCCAAAACCAAATAGTTTCTCTATACCCAAAAACTCTGAACCTTAAACCCGAACTAAACCCTGAACCCAAACTAGCACTACCTAAACCCTGAGGCTATTTGGGCCTGGGGCTTGGCCTTCACTTGCTGATCTGGCCCACACCTGAGACAGTACAGCAGCGGGTGGTTAGAGTTTCGGGGTTTAGGGTTTATGGTTTATAGGGCTTATTTAGGGCTTGGGGCTTAGGGTTGAGGGTCGAGGGCTTGGAGGTTTTTGGGGATTTCGGGTGGACGGTTTAAACTTTTGGGGTTTGGGGGCTTAGTGCTTCAGAGCTTGGGCTTTTGCGGGTAGGGTAGTGGTTTAGGGCTTAGGGCTTAGGGTTTGGGCATTGATGCTGTATTGTGTTCATGAGCTTAGGGTGTTAACGTGTTTTGGTTTCTTTTTCGGCCGGTTTTGATTTCAGGGCTTAGAGCTTAGTTTTTTCTTCGAAGGCTTGCAGTTTGGGGTTTAGGGCCTCGGATTTTCATGCCTGAGGGGATCACCCGCGAAGCCAAAAGTTGCACCGCTTAGGGGTCCCCGAAGCCCGAAGCCCTAAGCCCTAAGCCCTAAACCATCAACGCCAAGCTCTTTCTTCTGTGGCGATGGCAAGCTGTACATTGCGCAGGCGACGTCTGCCTCTTCACCCCCACCCTCCCCTCCCCCTGCCGCCCCGGCTGCCACTCAGTTTCTTTTGGGTTTAGGGTTTAGGGTTTAGGGTTTAGGGTTTAGGGTTTAGGGTTTAGGGTTCAGGGTTTAGGGTTTAGGGTTTAGGGTTTCGCCCTGAAAATTGGAGACGTGCAACTTCCTCGCGTACTGGCTGCCGATATTGATGCCGAGGTCGTCAAATGCCCCCGTGGTTCTTACAACAAGAAGTAGGATGCCCAGGAGTACCCTTATTCCCTTTTTGGGGGTTTCGGTTCCCTTATAAACCCCTTTAAGCAAAAAGGGCACCCTTTTGAAGCCCAGGTTACTGGGCAGCCTAGAGAACTTAAGCAGAGCAGTCAGCGGAGCAGTGGCTGGCGGTGCTGGCTGCGGATTCTGCATAGAACAAACGTGGCCCCGCACACCGATGCACCTCAACTTAGGGTTAAGGATTTTTGGTCCGGATAACCTTGTTTGGGCCCTATTTCGGGTAAAACAAATTCGGGTATCTGAACACTGAACCCAAACCCTCAACCCCCCCCCCCCCCCCAACCCAAATCAAACACACTGAGACCCCTGAGAGATCTTGAAGATTACCTAGCTGGAAGTCGTACCGGTTCTGGAAAGATACACCCTAAACCCTAAACCCTAAACCCTAAACCCTAGACACCCTAGACCCACGCACGCAAATCCCCAATCCCTCAAACTCCTCAACCCTCCCTCTGCCCTGAAGCCTGCACTCTGAACCCTAGCCCTAAACCCTCCACAAGCCTGCACCCTACACCCTAAACCCTAAAGCCCTAAGCCCTAAACCTTAAACCCTAAACCCTAAACCCTTAACCCTTAACCCTTAACAAACCCACACGCCGCAAAAAGGTTTTGCGAAGTGCTCCGCACACTGATCTGTCCCAGCCACTGGCCGGACGTGCCGACACTCGTGCGGCATCAATGTTCGATGGCCGTATGTATGTGTATACTTAGGGATACTTGGGAATCATGTTTAGTTATTGGGTACTGCAACTCCTACGACACAGGCAAAATGATTTCTTGCCAGGGTTCCAAGTTCAAAATAATGTGGTCTCCTGATTAGTGTGGGGGGCCCCCCCCCCCCAAACTAAATCCACCCCCGCAATAGTGTCACAAAAAACGGACCCCGCCCCCAAACTAATTTTCGGCTCCGGGCCCCCCCCCCCCACCGGCTCCTCTTCATTTCCTCTTCGCTCCTCTTCCCTCTCCTGTTCCTCTCCCTCTCCTCTTAGGTAATTTTGCTCTTTTCTTTCCTCATCTTGTTCTCTTTTTTTCTCTGTTCCGAAACCCATGCCCGAAAAAACTTTTCATTATTGTAGGGGGCAGCCAAATTTTAAATTTTTGTCCCCTGAATCAGTTTTTTGAAAACTTTTCATTATTGGAGGGGTCCACACTAATCAGGATACGACATTAGTGTGTATATATACAGATATATATATATATATATATATATGTCTACGCATGTGCATACATATGTACACATTCATATACATACACTTGCATACATATGTATAGATAATACGTATACACATACATATACATATACATTTACATATACATATACATATGCATATAGATATACATATACACGAAGCCGCCGTTTTCACCGTGATGCATGTGAATGGTACGACTTGGATCTCTACTTTTCGTTCGGTTTAGAGCCGACTTCAGTCTGTGACTTTCGTTTGGGTAAGAGCAGGGTGTGCTTAGGGTTCAGGGTTCAGGGTTCAGGGTTCAGGGTTCAGGGTTCAGGGTTCAGGGTTCAGGGTTTAGGGTTTAGGGTTTAGGGTTTAGGGTTTAGGGTTTAGGGTTTAGGGTTTAGGGCCCTAAACCCCTAGCGCTGCTGCGGGGCCTAAGCACTTCGCATGCCCGAGAAGTCACAGCTTAAGGACTTAAGGAGACCTGCTCCCCCACCTTGCATCGGAGGGTTTAAGGTCTTTACGGCCTAGGAAACACAACAAAACCCTGACAAAGCCCTTAACCCTTAAACTCCTACACCCTGAACCCTGCTAACTTGGGATGCTCCCCCTTATACTTACAGTCCTTAATCGTGATTCTAATGGGGGGGGGGGGTACTGTAGTCCCTAACCCTAAACCCTAAACCCTAAACCCTAAACCCTGAACATCTCAACTTGTAACCCTTAAACCCGAAAATCCCAACTCTGGGCCTCCAAACCCTGGCAGATGGGGGTTTACGATATTTGGGGTACCTTCTTGGGTCCTTGTTATAAGGGATCTTACTAAATCCCTAAACCCTAAACCCTAGACCTCAGGGGTCCCTTATTTTCGCAAACCTCCAGATCGCTCCACAAGGCTGAAGAACAAGAGGAAGAGCGAGGGAGGAGAGAAGGCGGGAGGGCCTTGCGGTTTAGGGGTTAGGGTTTAGGGTTTAGGGTTTAGGGTTTAGGGTTTACTGCAGCTGAGGTAGCCTGAACCCCTAAACCCTCAACCCTAAACCCTAAGCCGCCTAGTTCATCCCCTAAACCCTCTTCTGCTGTGACAGCTGCATCTGCGTTTTGACTCCCACGGAAGCAATAGGGTCTAGGCTTGAGGGCCCTAAACCCTAAACCCTAAACCCTAAACCCTAAACCCTAATTCCTAAATCTTGTCTCGGGTTTGGGGCTTGGCGTTTAGGCTTTGGGGCTTAGGGCTTTAGGGCATGGACTTCAGGGTTGGGTGAAGATACGTTTTGCAGCTACGGGATGCAGCCGCACATACCTGTCATACCTTCCATGACGGGCTATTCTCCCCCATAACCCTGCAAAAAGGCCCTTTATCGGGTTGAATTATAGGGAGTATAGGGCCTGATAGCCCGTCCTGGTTGTTGCGTTTAGCTCCCGTGTACCCGCCTTGTACTGCAAGGGATATGGATTTCACGAGCTTGGCCCATGAAACTCCGTGAAAAACACATCCCCGAAACCCTGAACCCTAGCCCGCCCACAAAACCCCACACCCTGAACCCTAAAAACACCCCAAACCCTTGAACCTTCAACCCTAAAACCCTAAACCCGCCTTACAAACCCCAAGAAACGAACAACGAAGAGAGGCATTTGTGGGCGAAGGCTACGAGTGCTACGACTACGACACCCCTGGCTGGCCTTTGGTAGCCATTGTAAAGCTTCTTGGGCCAAGGTTCAGGGTTTAGGGTTTGGCGTTCGGGGTTTAGGTTTCGGGTTGCGGTTTTAGTGTTTGAATTCGGGTTGGGTAGTGCCCGAACCCTGGACCCTAAACCCTATGCGAAGCTACGCCTCGTAATCTGTCTACGGTCTTGGGGGAAGGTTGGGGGCAGGTGTTCTGTGGTCTGGAAGTTACATAGTCCCCTCATGTGGTTACGTTCTTTCTTTAGCGAGTCCTGAAGTATGTGTCTTGTATGTTATAGGGTATACAGGCGGTTTTCTCAACCCAAATTAAAGGACCCTGCGACCACCCTAAGATGTAGGGAAACTTTCTTGGGTCAAAAGAAGGAGTAACAAGTGCCGTTTGTAGGTAGTAGGAAAACCCTAAACCCTAAACCCTAAACCCTAAACCCTAAACCCTAAACCCTAAATCCTAAATCCTAAACCCTAAACCCTAAACCCTAAACCCTAAACCCTAAACCCTAAACCCCAAACCCAACCCTAAACCCTAAACCCTGAACCCTAAACCCTAAACCCTAAACCCTAAACCCTAAACCCTAAACCCTAAACCCTAAACCCTAAACCCTAAACCCTAAACCCTCAACCCTAAACCCTAAACCCTAAAACCCTAACCCTAAACCCTAAACCCTAAACCCAAGAAACCTCATATGAGGCCCCAGATCCTGAACCCTCAAGATGTTTCGGGCTTTTTTGGGCTTAGAATTGAGATGGTCACTAGAACTCCAAGCCCTAAACCTTAAACCCGAACCCTAAACCCTAAAACTTAAAAAAACATATCCCCGAAGATCCGACAAAAGCCCTAAAGGCCCCACAAAAGCCCCACAGACTCAGCGCTTTAAGCCCTAAACCTCAAAAACTCTCAGAACCCTAAACCCTAAATCCTCAACCCTAAATTGTTAAACCCCATTGCCTTGCCCGGACGTCTTAGGTTGGCTTTTGCCTTGCTGACAGGCACCGCGGCCTATTTCCCTGAGGTGTAGTCCTGTGGTTTGGGGTTTAGGGCTTGGGGTTTACGGCTTGGGGTTTAGGGTTTAGGGTTTAGGGTTTAGGGTTTAGGGTTTAGGGTTTAGGGTTTAGGGTTTAGGGTTTAGGGTTTGGGTTTAGGGTTTAGGGTCTATAGGGTTTAGGGCTCAGGGCCTAGATGGTTTGTTTTCCAGTATGCGGCCTTCCCGGTACCCCCAAGTACAAGCGGCATACCCGTAGGGTTTAGGGTTTAGGGTTTAGGGTTTAGGGTTTAGGGTTTAGGGTCGTAAGAGAAAGATGACGAAACAAGACCCTGTAACAAGCACAGTTGTAGGACGAGCCTCCATACGAAGTAGAGTTTATACAGGCAGGCGTATACATCCTTCTTCGTGGGTTGAGTGTGTATGGCGGGTGTCTTCTTGGTGATACTAGTATAGTAATAGGTGAACGCTCCGACTTCATACATGGTTCTAGGATTCTAGGACCCAGTGTAGACCCCAATTCCCTTTTCTTAGGGCTTAGGTTCCCTTATGAGCCCCTTTAAACCTAAAAGTGCGCCCTTTTGATTCCCAGGTTAGCCTTCGGTCCAGAGGGCGGTGATGGTTTCAGCGTTTCAGTGGTTCAGGGTTTTTGTTGGGCTCGATTCTTTTGTTTTTGCGTGTTAGGGCTTCATGGCTTTACCCGAAAACCCGAACTGCATGAACCAATGCTGTTGGGGGCTTTTGAGGGCGTAGGGTAGAAGGCACGGTGGCGAAAACGACAGAGAGCCAAGGCAGACCCAGATTGCCGTAGATACCCTTGCTTTTATCTACGATTGGAACCATGTGCCCTTAGTGTGGTCCCTTGTTTATTGGGATCCGAAGTATGGACCCTTTACCAAAAATCTAGTAAGAATCAGGGTTGGAAAAAAAGAGGCCCAAATTAAGGGCCCATGCTTGGGATCCCCGTGTTTGAGGCAGAATGCGCGTTCAGAACTCAGGGCTTACCAGCTGTAGTGTCGCTTGCTGGTCCTGCAGGGGCAGTGCATCCCTCCCCTGTATATAAGATAGCTTCCCTTCTTTGCAAGAGCATCAAGAACTATCGCAGGTCATATGAAACCCTAATTAACTTCACACCCCATCCTGAACCCTATCCCATATCCCTGACCCTATAAACCTCAACCCTACATAAACCCTACTGTACCCTAAACAGCCCTACTAAGGGTCCAGGTTTGCTTGCCTTAAGCCCTAAGCCCCAAACCCCAGACCCCAAACCCCCTTACCCCAGACCCCAAACCCCAAACCCTAAACCCTAAACCCTCAACATCCAGGCTTGCTTCCGTTTCGCCTCATAGCCTTCATCATCGCCTTCGCCCTCAATGCCCTTGTGCTCCGCCCCTCGGGCCGTAGGGCTTCGGGGTTTAGGGTATTTAGGGTATTCAGGGTATTTAGGGTATTTAGGGTATTTGGGGTATTTGGGGTATTTGGGGTATCGAGTGTATTTAGGGTATGTAGGGTTTTGGTGAAATTTCGGGTGTTTAGGGTATTTAGGATTACGGGTTTAGGGCATTTATCAGGGTTTGGGGGTTTAGGGTATAGGGTATTTCGGGCTTAGGGCTTAGGGCTTAGGGTTTAGGCTTTCGGGTATTTAGGGTTTGGGTTTAGGGCATGTCCGACATTAAGGGCATTTAGGGTATTTTGGGTATTTTGAGACCGGCCCAACGCACACGAACGAAGGACAAGTAGTCACGGTATTGAGGGCATTTAGGGTATTTAGGGTTTAGGGCTCGGGGTTTAGGGCATTTGGGTTATGTAGGGTTTTGCGCTTAGGGTTTTGGGCTTGGGCTTAGGGTATATAAGTAGGGTTTATCTGGTAGTGACAAGGCCCCTTCAATGTGGCCCCTGACGATTTCTGGAGGGTTGTGAAATACGGGCCCTTGGGTTTCCTAAACACCCTAAACCCTGAACCCGAACCCTAAAGGAATAAACCCTAAACCCTACAGGCCCCAAACCCTGAACCCTATTGTTCAGTTTAGGGCTGAGGATGAACTAGGCTTTGGGTTTACAATTTCCCAAAACCCACTACATACTTCTTGCTTGGGAATTTGGGATCCGTAGTGAACCCGAACCCGAAACCCGAAACCCTAAACCCCAAACCCCAAGCTACCTAAACCCTAAATCCTAAACCTCCCTCCTAAGCACGCCTGAGGAATAGGCCTTTGCCTGTCTCCAAAGTCTATGGGCCACCGTGCCACTGCCGCAAAAACACCGGAACGGATGCTTGTGGGCTGTAAGGTTTCAGGTTTTTGGGTTTTGGTTTGGGGTCTTGGGTTTTGGTATAGGGCATAGGGTTTAAGTTTCATTCTTTTCTTAGCAGAATTTATGGAGCCAGGCGGTACATGTGCTGCCAGTGACTTAGGTTCATCCACTTCACAGTGCTCGGACTTTTCTAGGAACAGTTGAGTTAAACTTTGGGTTCCCCCAGAGCCTGTACAACCCCAAAGCCACAAACACCCCACGCCCGAAGATCTTGCAACCTCGCCCATCCAGGCATATGCGTTTGTGTGCGTGGCATCCCCTCCCCCTAATATTAACCCCCTTCCCCCTACCCTCTAGTATTACATGCCCCTATTGTAGAAATATTTAATGGCTACCGCCAGTGCCGCCGACCCCACCCCCCGCCATTTTAGGGTGCCTCAGGGCTTAGGGAGTTTCTTGGGTGGCTTCGGCTTGGGCAGCTTGGGGTAGTTGGAGGATTTGGGCGCCCTTTGCAGGGATGACGCTATGAGGGTTTAGGGTTTAGGGCTAGTTCGCAGCCTTTTGGGAGAGGGGGGGGCCTTCACACTGGTGGCGGGCGGTGCGGATGGCGGCTCGTCAGCGTGGGTGGCTCAGGGGGCGGGTGGCTTGGGGCGGTCTTGGTGGTTCGGGTCATGTGGGTGGTTGGGGTGATGTGGGGTTCGGGTGGTGTGGGTGTTTGGCGGCATGGCTTCGTTCATGTACAGACTGTACAGCCTCAGAGTGTCCTACTGTGCATACCTAGGCTGGGCACTCTGATAGGATTCCTGACCCTTGAGGCGGCTGCGGGCAAGTGAGCGAGGAAAGAAAAATACAAATTTGTTAAGTTTACCTGTAACTCCGTATCAGTTTTGTGGGGCCCCTGCAGGGTCCCAGGAAGGGACCAAGCAGGGCAGCCCCCCCAACTAGAAAAACCTAGATGAATTTAGAATCTGTCCCCATGTGCTTGCATAAAGGCCCACGGGAGGGGGACCCAAGGACCCCCCGGGGCAACCGGCACCCCGAGAACCAACGCGGATCCTGCAAAAACAGGGCGACCGACCCAAGGACCGGCGGAGGGTGGGAGAAGCGGGCGACCGACCCAAAGACCGGCGGAGGAGGAAGTTTTAAAACTTGCGTTTTGCGTTGTTCTATACGTCCTGTTGAGTCGGGCCTTTTTTGCTTTGTTCTAAGCGTCAAAGTGGGCAGATTCCAAATTCCACCGAATCCCGGTGCCCTATGCTCCCTTAGAAGGGCCCCCATGGCTCAAATCCTTCGGCTAATCCAGGGCATTTAGCCTTGCGAGCAGCACAACGGCAAAGTTTGGATTGCGAGCCAGGGGTCGGTCAGAAGAGCGTTTGGAAGCGAGGCTTCAAACGGCGCGCGAGGTTCACGAAGCGGGTTGGTTGGGGTCACACGCCCTACATGACGAACACCTCAGAAACATAGGCAAACGATGGAGCAAAGACAACAGAAACGAAGAAGCACGCAAAGAACAATGAAATCAGAAATACAAGCAAAATAGGTCACGGAGTTTCTCTCCTACTCAGGCAGAACAAATTAAAAGGAGAACAGCTCAAAAACATAGGCAAATGCTATGCCAAAAAACACGAACAAGCATGCAAACAGCAATGCAAACGGAAATAAAAGCAACGTAGGTGACGGAGTTCTTTCTCCCACCCAGGCATAGGACAAAAGAAGAACACCTCAAAAACACAGGCAAATGCTTGATCAAAACCCAGAGAAACGACAAAGGACGCAAAGAATGAAAACGGAAATAAATCCAAGGTAGCGGACGGAGTTTTACCTCCTGCCCAGGCATAGGAGAAAAGAGGAACGCCTCAAAAAGAGAGGCAAATGCTGGATCAAAAGCAACACAAACGCAGAAGGAGGCAAAGAGCAATGAAATCAGAAATACAAGCAAAATAGGTCACGGAGTTTCTCTCCTACTCAGGCAGAACAAACTAATGACAAGGAGAACAGCTCAAAAACACAGGCAAATGCTATGCCAAAAATCACGAACAAGCATGCAAACAGCAATGCAAACGGAAATACAAGCAATGTAGGTGACGGAGTTCTATCTCCCGCCCAGGCATAGGACAAAAGAAGAACACCTCAAAAACACAGGCAAATGCTTGATCAAAACCCAGAGAAACGACAAAGGACGCAAAGAACAATGAAAACGGAAATAAAACCAAGGTAGCGGACGGGGTTTTACCTCCTGCCCAGGCATAGGAGAAAAGAGGAACACCTCAAAAAGAGAGGCAAAGGCTGGATCAAAAGCAACACAAACGCAGAAGGAGGCAAAGAGCAATGAAATCAGAAATACAAGCAAAATAGGTCACGGAGTTTCTCTCCTACTCAGGCAGAACAAATGACAAGGAGAACAGCCCAAAAACACAGGCAAATGCTATGCCAAAAATCACGAACAAGCATGCAAACAGCAATGCAAACGGAAATAAAAGCAATGTAGGTGACGGAGTTCTATCTCCCGCCCAGGCATAGGACAAAAGAAGAACACCTCAAAAACACAGGCAAACGCTTGATCAAAACCCAGAGAAACGACAAAGGACGCAAAGAATGAAAACGGAAATAAAACCAAGGTAGCGGACGGAGTTTTACCTCCTGCCCAGGCATAGGAGAAAAGAGGAACACCTCAAAAAGAGAGGCAAATGCTGGATCAAAAGCAACACAAACGCAGAAGGAGGCAAAGAGCAATGAAATCAGAAAGAAATACAAGCAAAATAGGTCACGGAGTTTCTCTCCTACTCAGGCAGAACAAATTAAAAGGAGAACAGCCTAAAAACATAGGCAAATGCTATGCCAAAAAACACGAACAAGCATGCAAACAGCAATGCAAACGGAAATAAAAGCAATGTAGGTGACGGAGTTCTATCTCCCACCCAGGCATAGGACAAAAGAAGAACACCTCAAAAACACGGGCAAATGCTTGATCAAAACCCAGAGAAACGACAAAGGACGCAAAGAACAATGAAAACGGACATAAAACCAAAGTAGCGGACGGAGGTTTACCTCCTGCCCAGGCATATGTCCTGCCCAGGCATAGGAGAAAAGAGGAACACCTCAAAAAGAGAGGCAAATGCTGGAACAAATGTCAACACAAACGCAGAAGCAGGCAAAGAACAATGAAATCAGAAATACCAGCAAAATAGGTCATGGAGTTTCTCTCCTACCCAGGCATAACAAAAGGAGAACAGCCCAAAAACATAGGCAAATGCTCTGCCAAGAAACACGAACAAGCTTGCAAACAGCAATGCAAACGGAAATAAAAGCAACAAGGTGACGGACCTCTATCTCCACCCAGGCACAGGACAAAAGAAGAACACCTCAAAAACACAGGCAAATGCTTGATCAAAACCCAGAGAAACGCAAAGAACAATGAAAACGGAAATAAAACCAAGGTAGCGGACGAAGTTTTACCTTCTGCCCAGGCATAGGAACACCTCAAAAAGAGAGGCAAATGCTGGATCAAAAGCAACACAAACGCAGAAGGAGGCAAAGAGCAGTGCGTCTGAACAAGGACAACACAAGAGCACCTTTAAAACAAAACACACACACACACACACACACACACACACACACACACACACACACACACACACACACACACACACACACACACACAAC